AATTCAAGATGTCAGATACATGTCTTGGTGATAATTTTCTTTTTCAAAAAGTTGAGGAAGGCACTAGGAGAATTGCCGCCTTGGATTGGTCCTTACTAACAGAAAGTACTTGATTGAAGATATTAAAGTGGTGGGAATTTGATTGCAAGGGACCATGTGTTATTAGAGTTCTTGATTTTAACAAGCAGCTTGGTCAAAAGCAGTTGAACTCAGACTTCGTAGAAAGGCTGACTTTAATAAACTAACTGAAATGGTAAAGAAACTGCCATGAGAAAAAACCCTGAAAGGTAAAGGTGTTGGTGGCTGGAACTTCTTAAAAAGAGAACCGAGGATAATGTAGTCTCAAACAGCATGAAAAACAAAATTAGGAGACATCTAAAGGACCCAGTGTGGTTGAACAGGCAGGTTGTGAAGGAGCTCAGACCCAAGGATGGTTACTGAAAATGAAAGGAAGGGCTAATGGCTGAAGAAGCCTACAGAGCTTCAGTCCACAAATGTAGGAATGAGGTCAGGAGGGCAAAGATGGAAAATGAGCTAAAGCTAGCAAGAGAGGCAAAATCCAGCATGAAGCGTTTCTTCAAACATATAAAAAAGCAAGAGGAAGACAAAGGAGGCAGTGGGCTTACTGCTTACTCCAGGTGGATAAATTATGACAGATGATCCTCCCTAGTACTGTCCCTTCCACCAAAAAAGGAAGAAGGAAGAGGAATTCCTCTTTAGTTTCTGTCTTTACAGCCAGTGATTTCAGTAGCATAGATTGGAAACAGGCAGGGGAGGGCACAGGTCTGTAAAGATGAGGTAAACGATCTTTTAGCTGATTTGAATGCCTTCAAGTCCCCAAGACTCCTGATGAAATACACCCTAAAATACTGAAAGAACTACTGGAAGTGCTGTTGAGTCCTCTGTCAATTATCTCTGAGGAGTCTTGAAGAACTGGGGAGATGCCAGAAGACTGGAGAAGAGCCAATGTAGTCTCTTCTCAAGAAAGGAAAAAAAGAGGATCTCAGTAATTATTCACTAGAGATCCTCACATCAATCCCTGGAAATATGTTAAAGCAGGCCATTTGTAAGCAGCTTGAAGACAATGCTGTGATTGCCAAGAATCAGCATGTCTTTGTCCAAAATAGGTCATGGAAGACAAAACTTGTCTACTTCTTTAACAGGGTATCTTAGTGAACAAGGGGACTCCTCCAATGTGCTCATAGACAAGTTGTTAAAGTATGGTTGCGAGGCACTAGAGCGAGGTAGGTCTGGGATTAGGGTGTCTGTGGAGTTCTTGTTGAGTCTTTCTTGCATGTTGGGGAGTGTTGTTTTAGTCCAGGCAGTCAGGTGGTTTTTAATTGTGTTTTAAACCTATATACTGGACATACTGTAAGCCACTCAGAGTTTTCTTGGAGTTGGGTGGTCTTAACAAATCCAATAAACAAACAAACAAATGGGCACACATACAAGCAGTGGGTTTGTGAGCACTTGGAAAAGAACAAGGTGATTAGTAGAAGCCAGCATGGTTTGTTAATGCCAGGCAAATCTTACTGATCTTTTTGATGAAGTGACTGGATTAGTAGATCAAGGGAACATTTTGGATGTTGTGGGCCTAGATTTCAGTAAGGCATTTGATAAAGTAGACCATAGCCTGCTTCTTGATAAAATAGAACAAATTTAACATTTTCATAAATGACTTAGATGAGGAGTTCGAAGGGATGCACAGCAAATTTGCAGATAATACAAAATTGGGGGTAATTGCTAACACCTTAGAAGACAGACTCAAGGTTCAAAAGGATCTAGATAGATTTGAACACTGGGCCTTCTCCAACAAAATGCAGTTCAATGGTGAGAAATGTAGGGTTCTGCATTTAGATAGGCAAAATCAGATGCACAGGTACAAGATAGGTGGTTAGGGTTAGTTTCTTGGTTCAGCAGTACTTGAGAGAAAGATCTGGGTGTCCTGGTAGACCCAGCTGCCAGAAGAGCTAATGTAATCTTGGATTGAATCAACACAGGTACAGTATCAAGATCATGAGAAGTAATATTCTGCTCTGTGCTACACCAGTCAAACCATACCTGGAATAATGTGTCCAGTTCCAATCATCATAATACAAAAACATTGAGGAATTGGAAAGAGCGCAGAGATGAGAGACAAAGGAGGTGAGGGGCTTGGAGCCTAAACCCTATGAAGAGTAGTTAAAGGAACTTGCTATGTTTAGCCTAAAGAAAGGAAATCTGAAGGGAGACATGATAGAAGTTTTCAAATACTTGAAGAACTATCGCAACAAAGAGGGCTTACAAAACCTGGCTCACCTAAAGCAACCAAATCACTTTGAAGATACAATGTAGATTTATTAGCACGCAAATGACAGTGTACACTGAGTTCCCAGCAAAGCACTGGCAGATTGTTGAGTAGTCCTGAGTGAAAGCAGAACCATAGCTTATCTACCTTTGACCTACTACTTTACAAAGACAAGACAAAGAAACAGGCAGACATAGTGTAAATTACAGAATGACACTGGAATGTTTTTGATAAACACATCTGGGTGACCTTCTCATTATTTACCCCTTCCAATAGGTTGGCATGTGAGCAATACTATCTTTGAGAATATAGTCAGTAAATATAAACAATTTGGCTTAGTGGGCCACTAGTTCCTGACTGATTCTTCCTCCTGTCACCACTAAGGTCAACTGAGCTTGTGTGAATGTTTTAGTACAAGGGCAAATCATACATTTGGTTTACATGTGTATGGGGGGAGGGTTCCTTTTACCACCAGTTTGGCTTTATTCTCCAGAGCTCCTGAGAGTGGGACAAGAACCAATGTGTGGTTAGGGTTAGGGTGGGAGAAGAAAAGCAAAGATCCAGACAGAGGGATGTACTTCACCCAGAAAGAGAAAGTGGGGTGGGTGGGTTGGTAGCTAAGCAGTGGAGCAGGTGATTCCTAACAAATAGCCCTAAGAGGGAGGACCTGTCACTGTGATGCACCTGTCCTCCTTCCAGTGGGGAAAAATGGCAGGCCAATGCTCTCCAAAGCATGGAGAGCCACTGCAGCTGAGAACGCCAGCTGGGAGGCAAATTCCAAATTCCGGCCAGCGCAATCTTCCTGGATCAAAGAAAAATTGAGATATAAACCACGTGCACTCCGGATGGCGGTTCCTTCTGAGTTAACGGCAGAAACTGAAAAGTTTTTGCAGCTGGCTCAGGGGTTGAGCTGCAGGGAGATCTGGAATTCCATCGGTGGAGCCATATGGGTGTTACAGGCTTACTTCTCTCCACTTCTTAATCACCTTGGGAAATAATTAATTACAGACGAAGAGAGATTTCCTCTGCAGCAAAGATAAGATTCCTTGCAATGAGTTAAACCTTCTTTCAAGATTACCAAAAAAAAAAAGAGAGACTTTGATTTAAAGATTCAAAAACTACTTGCAAAAAGCTCAATTAAGAGAAGGTATAAGAAAGTTTTTAAAACAAGCAAGGGGACAGTCTTTTTTTCTGCCTATTTTTCTATTTTTATTACTTTTACTTTTGATGAAAGTGCTTTGCTGTAATTTTTTATTAAGCCAGCTAAAGAGATTAGCCAGTGGCGTGGGAATGTTGCTAGCTATCCTTAAAGAGTCTGTGTGAATGGTGGAATCTGCATAACAAAAGGCACAGGCTATGTCAGTTGCTGTGGAGACCTGAGGCTTATTGTGATGGAAGTAACTGAGAGCTACTAAAGTGAAAGTGTTTGAGAGAAAATAATATGGGAAAAAAATGGCAGAGGCTTGTCTTTTTATTCAGCTGCTTGGGACTTTTTTGCTTTTGGATTAAAAATGACTACTAGAAAAATGGCAAGAGAGGGCAGAAGAGGTTCGCTAGAGCAACCTACAGAAAAAATAATTACACAAGATATACTTCAGAAATTTTGTGAGCAAATGAGAAACAAACTGGATGCCTATGAAAAAAGAATGGATGAAAGATTTATGAAGTTAAGAGAAGAGATAAGAGAAGATGTTAAAAAGATGGAAAATTCTATAAAACAAATATCTAGAGAGGTAAGCCAAGTTAACGGAGTGGAAATTTTAAAGAGTAAGTCAGAGGGTCCATCCCCTGCTTTTTCCAGCACCAAGATTTGGATCTGGATGGAGAAATGTCTCAGAGACAGAAATGCCTGCTGATGGTCCTCCCTCAGCCGGAACTGAATCCAAACGAAAATCTCTCACTTACACTCCTGTCGTGCAACTCATCTCTAGATGAATGTGCCTGTCAGTCCTGAAGCCCAAGGGTCCACGGGAGAGAGCCCACCTCCCCTCCTCGGGGAATGAGTTGGTGCCCACTGCTGTCATTTGCTGTGTTTGTGGCCCTTCCATGGGCAGCCTATGGGCTGGGGGGAGCAGACTGGGTGGTCTAGGAGAGATTGTCTCTGTCAGTTTGAAACAATTGTCCTCCTTAAAGACACTGCGCCTCCCCCAGCTGTAACGAACCCACAGTCACTTTGTAACAGCAACGTAGTGTCTGGTTCACTTTTTAAATAACATACCACCACGTACAACTCATTCTCAAGTTTAACTGGCCTCAGCCCCGGACCGCTTCCTCTGAACTAACTCGGTTTAACTGCACATTGGCAGCACAGCGGCACCATTTTAAAACAAGTGGAAACGCTGTCTGGGCAGAAGAACAGCAGCAGGAAGACACTTGCCAGAAGAACATAGCGTCTTCTCAGACATTTTTTACTTTACTCCCTTTTGAGGAATTTCCTGTTTAAACACTGCAAACATTCATTTTTAACTTAATTCCATACCAGAATGCTATTGGGATTCTTTCTACAAAAGAGTTCTAGCTGTTGCACAGAACGTGCAAGACAGGCATCAGCTGATGAAGTCCTGGGGTCAAAGAATGAGTCGGAGCAGCCATTCGACACAGCACCTCTGCCAGCGTTCGGTCTGGAGGCTGGGTTATGTGCCAGAGAAGCTAAAAGCCCTGCAATTGTCCAATGTTTACTGTGCTAGTGGTGGGGCAGGTATTGCTTACTTACCTAGGCGTGAGTGGGGGGCAGGTCTCGACAGAATGCCACCAGAAGCCTCTTACTGTTGGCCTCAGAAACAGAATGCTGCCCAGTGGTTTCTCAGATGCCTCCAGGCCACCAGCGATGAGCACACCCCCTTCCCAACTACAGGCACTGTGTGAGTGACGGCCAGCCGGAATGGGACCCTCCACTGGAATCTGAGAAGGTGTAGCAGAAGGGAAGACGTGAGCTGGCAGCTTTTCTTGCCCAAATTAAAAAAGGGCGTCTCTTTCATACTTCCCTAGAAGAAGGAAGCACCTGGCCCAAAGTATCCATCTGCTCCAAGGACCGTCAAGAGAGATTCCTAATTCACAGGCAAACCCGGACCTTCTCTCAGAGCTTAGATTTAAGTGCTGTACATGTATATGCATCATGCCATTTTCTTTCCAGTAAGCAATGTTATGAAATTGTCCCAACCTCCGCACCCCCAAGCAGCAGCCTGTGTTACCACAGTGCACGTACTTCTTAGCTGATGGTGACACACAACAGCAGGTTAGCTTGTGAGGCAGCCTCTAGATCAGAGATCTGAGCTCATACAAAACAGGGCAAGGACGCTTGGGGTGAAACTGGGCTTTAGGTGATAAATGTGCCAAACTGAAAAAGATTGCATGCACATGGATGTGGCTGACACCAATATTGTAGCTAACTGCTTCCTTTTCTTACCAAAAAGCACAACGTGAAAGATCTCATGCTGATACTCATAAATGCATCCATCGCTAAATGCTCCACCCTTCAAAAGGGTCTGATGGCTCAGCTAACACAGGATAGGCTGCAAGAGCCACCTTTAAACTACCTTTGGAGTGAATGGGAGAGCATCCAGCTAATAAGTCATAGTCTGGCAAAGTCATATCACGCTTGTTAAAAAGAAGAGGATTTCAGCCTCCCAAGAGTCCAAGTCAACCCCTGAGCCAGTGGTTTAGAAAACCAGACTTGGTTTTTGAGAAGTGCCAGAAAACTGGAGAAGAGCTAATGTTGTCCCAGTCTTTAAAAATGCCAAAAAGTGGACCCAGTAAGCTACAGAACAATCAGCTTCACACTAATACCTGCAAATCTTCTAAAAAAGATAATCAAGCAGTATGTTTACAAAAACTTTGAAAATAATAAGATGATTACTAGAAGCCAGCATGGGTTAAAAATAGGTGGTATCAGGCAAATCTTTTGGCTCTTTTGGACAATGTGACTAGATTAGTCAGCCAAGAGAATGCAACGGATGTTGTGGACCTAGACTTCAGTGAGGCATTTGACTGCTGACCACAGCCTCCTTCTTGACAAAATGGACCATCCTATGTGCAATGGATGGTACCAAATGGTTTGACAGCTGGTTTAACATCCACACACAATGTACAGTCCTTAATGGACACAGAGAAAGGTACGCAGTGGGGCACATCAAGGTTCTGTTCTGGCCCCAGTGTTCTTTAACATTTTCATAAATGACTTAAAAGGATAGAAGGGATGTTCAGCAATGATACAAAGCTGGGGACTGCTAACACCTCAGAACAGAAGTTCAGGGATCAAAAGAATTATTATAAACTTGAATATTAGCCCCTTTCCAACAAAATGATGTTCAGTGGTGAGAAATGTAAAGTTCTGCACTTAGATAAAAAAGAATAGATGGCTATGGTACTTGTCTTGAGGATTAATACGTGAGAAGGATCTGGGTGTGCTGGTAGACCACAGATTAAGCATGAGCCAGCAGTGAGCTGCAGCTGCCAAATAAGCTAATGCAATATGGGCTGTCTCAACAGAGGCATAGTGACAAGATAGTTCCACTCTACGCTGCACTGGTCAGGCCTCACCTAGAATACCGTGTCCACTTTTGGTCACCTCAATATAAGAAGGATGCTGAGAAACTGGAAAGAGCACACAGAAGAGCAGCAAAGATGAACGGGCTTGGAGCCTAAATCCTATGAAAAACTGTTAAAAGAACCATTTAGCCTAAAAAAAGAGAAGGTTGAGGGAGATGTGAAACCAGTTTTCCAATACTTGAAGGGCTTCCCAGGGAAGACACTGTGGATTTATTTAGGTTAGAACAAGAACCAACCAGGTAGAAGCCTTATAGAGAAAGATCCAAACCTGGAGTAAGGAAACATTTCCTCACCACAAGAGCTATTGAGTAGTGGAGTAGCCTGCCCCCTGGATTTGCGCAGGCTCCCTCGCTGGAGGTTTTTAAACCAAAGTTGGACAGCCATTTGTCTGGGACAGTCTAAGGATTTCTGCTTTGGGCAGGGGGCTGGACTAGAGGTCCCTCAAGGTCTTTTCCAACTCTAGGATTCTATGAGATTAAGCCTCTTAAGGTGCTTTACTTAGCTAGATTTTAAGTGACTTAGTTACTGTTTCTGACGAGGAATAAAAGAAGTCAGGAAAGGCCTCCTTTGGAGTCCTAAGTTCTTTGGAGGAGCTCTTCATGCCGTTTTGTTTTTACAAGTGATGAAACTCAGGCTAACTTTCAAATTCAGGCAAAACTCATCTCCCAGGACTATTCATCCAGTCACCACTAGCCAATGAAGAAATATTCTAAAGGGCTCTTGAACTTAAATGGATGACGGGCTCCTAAACTGGCCAAAAGAGGCTTTTATCCATCCGCACCTGCTGGCAGTAGAGTTCCTCCAAATGCAGAAAGCACCAATCAGCTTGCACAGACTGCCCAGAACTGCAACCTCCATAAACGAAGAGGTAAGCTTGTCCTAGAAAGAGAGCAGAACACGTTAGATCCTATTTCTAGAGCCCCCAGTTCCTCTCCCCCTACTCCTAAGTCACCCAAAGCAGCTCAGGTCTATTAGGGGAGAACTCCTTCCATAAAGCCAAAGACTGCTTGGGCGCAAGAACTGCTTGCCTCATTTTGGGGGAGAATCTGCAGCATTTGCACACCAGGTCACATGCCTACCAACTCTTTGAAAAGTTGGCAAAAAAATGTTATTGCCCGAATGTCAGATAAACCAGAGGCACTAAGCACAACTCACAGGAAAAAAGAGCAATGTGGAGATTCCCAGAAGTCCCCAACCAGCATCATAAAAAGCATCTAGGTTTCACCAGTGGTCATTCCCTGGCTCAGTTCCTTCTCTCCTCCCTCCCTCCCAGCCTCATTTACAGAGAGCGACCTTTCCTTTTATACCTTCATACGTGACTTCTGTGGCGGTGTGTCTCCAGCGGGGCAAGGAGAGGCCCTTGACAGGTGGCAACTGAGTAAGCTCAATGACAGGATTGCTGGGGCTCGAAGAATCAGCATCCCCCAGTCCTCTTAAGTGAAGGACTTCCAGAGCAGGGTTCACTGGGGACTTGCGCCCACCCAGTACCATAGCCCAGCCTGAGCGTAGAAGGGTTACTGTGTGGAAAAGCCGCCCATCTGCAGAAGGAGGGGAGAATGCTCACGTGGGTGGGCAGGGCTTGCTTGCCTGTACCAGTGGATTCCCCCGTTCCCATAGCTTACCCCAAGCCATTCCTGGCTCAGCCAGTCTGACCTCGTCACTTCTCCAACCATCCTTGTTCTTGATCAGAATGTGCAGCTCAGTCAAGCGGCAATGGCGCCCACCGTGGTCACCAAAACCTCCAGTGGTCAGAATTACATCAGGGGCAAGGAGCACTGAGCAATGACCATACCGCTTCAGGCCGGCAACTGCCCCACCTGCTGCGCAGAGAGATGCAGCCACAGTCCCAGCAAAGCAAGGAACACGGTGAGTCAGGAAGGCTGCAAGCAGAGAAGAAACAGCAGGGTCACTCCAGCAGCAAAGGCGCTGCCGCTCCAGTTGGCAAGGAAAGCAACAGAGGAACTCCCCTTCTAGCTGCAGGTCCCTTAGGAAAAATTAATCCAGCTCCCATAGCCGGCAGGAAGATTCCCCCACAGCTAACTCTTGCTCCTACAGTGAAGCCCACAAAAGCCACTTACAGGCTATTTCCTTCTTGAATTCAACAAAGGTAAGAAACGCCCTGCTGGATAAGGTCAGGCCCATCTTTGCTGGGCATTCTGTGGCCAACCAGATGTCCCTGGAGAGCTCTCAAGCTGGATTTGGAGGGACAACCTTCTCTCTCCACTGTTTGCTTGCAACCTCAGTTTGGAGGCCCACTGCTCCCACCCTGGAGCTAACACAGTGTCTTCAAGACTAATAACCTTCTATGAATTTATCGATATCTTGGTAAAGCAATCCAGTTTAGCCATTGCCAGCCCTGGAGGAATGAGTACCACAGATTAATTATGCATGGGTGAAGAAGAGCTTCCTTTTTTTCTATTGGAAATCTCCTTCACTAGATGAAACAATTCCATGAATTCCCCAAACCCCTTAAAAGGTAAAGTACGTAAAATATAAAAAACAAAAAAACACAAACCCACAGAAATAGGGCAGCCCAACAAACAGCTGCTTATGCCTCCAATGCTTGGTGAACAAAACTGTCATTGCTGAAGATGCAATGGGATCATCCTGGCCTCAGGAGGCAAGCTGGTCCAACAAACAGGCTTGCCTCTGGGTCCCCAGCCCTCTACCCTCTATTCCTTTCCCCCAAAGTATTCCCTTGAATGTCGACACGCAAGGTGGGCTGAGCCAAAGGTAACAGGAGCTGAGCTGTTCAAGGCTTCCTAAAAATGGTCAAAGAAACTGGGAACATTTAGCCGAAAGAAAAGCAGGCCGAGGGAGACGTGGGAGCAGTCTTCCAATACAGGAAGGGAACTCATGGGCAGAGATGTGGATTTATTCTCTATAACACCGGAGGTTAAGACAAGAATCAGCCGCTGAAAGCTTAATAGAAAGAGATCCAAACTTGAAATGAGGAGGAATTTTGTGACTGTGAGAGCTGCGAAGCAGTGGAACAGAATGCCTCCTGGTCCGTGGATCTCTTTCACTGGAGATTTTCAAGGGATGACTGGATAGCCATTTGTCTGGGATGGTATGGAGATGCCTGGACTGGGTAGGGAGTCCCTTCCAACCCTAGGATTCTATTAATCTCAGAGCAAGCAGCGCTGTTGGCAAACTGCCACCTAAAAGAGACACCTTTGTAAAGTCTGCTTAAAACCACACTGTTGGTTCTGCATATAAATTAAGTAGAAAGTAATCCGTGGCAGGGCATCACTGCTGAGAAGGAACCGTTTTGGGGGCATCAACTTAATTACTTTCTAAGCGAAGGGATTCTCAAAAGAAGATCTAACAAATGAACAGAGCTGCGTAGGTGAGGATAGCCCACCTAGCACAGCCTCCTATATCACTCAATGGCCAGCCGGATGTCTTCAGGAAATGTGTGTGGATAAGCGGACAAAAGCCAAACATCCTTTAAGGCTAACACCACTTTTCTGAATGCGGCTGGAAACACTCTAGAAGCTAGCACAGTTGATGCAAAATTCATACTATGTGTTTAGATCTGCAGGCCTCCATCAGTGCTTGTGCAACTGCCTTGGTCAGGGAGGTGGGACTGGGCAAAAACATCTCACTGAGTCATCACTAGCGCCCCGGGCAGAGGAAATGTGCTTTTACCTTCCATCCCAGAAAACACAGGAGTTGCACACAAGGCTTCTCCCTTTGATGCGACAAGGATGAAATAATGAGAGCACTTCAGGTGCCATTCCTGGAAGAGGAGCAAGAGAGAGAGGTCACTCATGGCCATATAATCTCAGTCATAAGAAACACCTCCATTGCATACTGGGACATTCCTAGAATACAAAGAAGCAAACTGGCAGCTGGCTTCCATAGTCAAAACAAACTTTATAAGTACCTTACACACTTCTATGATAAGCTAAAAGTAGTATTGCTGCATGCTCAAATGCAATCGCTTTATTACTACAAGTAGGAGTTATATTTATTCCCTACTTTAAAATGTTATCAACCTATCTCACTGCGCGAGATGAAAACACACACACTTTTCTGCCATCCCACTGCATTTACATACTGGCCACAGGGAAAGAACCTCCTGTCCTCTATAGCCCGCTGCGGGCCATCTCCTCTCTCCCTCCCCCTTCTGCCTGCACTGTAGCAGACCAACCTCGAATTCATCAAAGGGCTCCAGAGCTTGAATCCTCCTCCGCTCCTCTACAGGGAGAAAGCAGCCATAGAATTCATTCATATCTATGGTGTGGCATTCTGCCCAGCCCTAAAGAGAAAGTCATAGCATTAAGGCTGAGGCACGGTCACTGGCTTTGGCAGCCCTGCAAAGCTTAGGCCATCTTCTTTGCTCCCGTGGCCCCCTCCACCAGTCCAAGTCTCACACCCACCCTCTGGAGGAAGCGCATCCGCTGGGCCTTGCAGTCTGGGTATGAGGTTAGGGAGTGGAGCGGGGACTGCAGGCGGCTGAAGTGGTTTTGCATGACACGGCCAAAAGGGTCACTGGGATGAATCTGCTCATACAGAATGAACCACGCCGTCAGGAAGTGCCCAGCTGCCCACTGAATCAGAGCATCTGACCTGGAGTGAACCAGAAAGAGGGTAAAGTACACCAAGGAAGAGCAGCCCAGGCCACCTAACCAGAGGCCAAGGAACCATCTGACCCCCAAACTAGTCCAGGTCTTCAGAAGCCACAGGACCACTCACGTTTGCCAAGTTCAAAAATGGAGGTGAGCCTAAGACTAAGACCCCGACAGAAGATCCCACCTGTCTTTCTACCTGGCAACGTTTGGAAAAATGCACATTCTGAATATCCCCCAAGGGGACGCAGTGGGACTAAGCAGGAAGCAGAAGGATCCATGGATCCAAAGCTCCTCCAGCCTGCCACGATGGGAAACTTTTTTCTTTTTTTTAAAGGACAGTTGCAGTCTATCTTATTTTGATCTCGTGAGGCAGCAACCAGTGAAACAGTTGGGCTTCCAGCCTGCTCCTATTCAATCTTAGGTTTGCTACACCTGAATTTTCAGCAATTCTTTACAGAAGGAACAGACTTCCAATGGCCTCTTTGTGAGCATGGGAATTAACGTCTTGGCCTCAAGCTCAAAATATCTTGGATAGGAGGCTCAGGTTTGAAAATCTGGCCTGGAAGTCTGTCTGGCTTTACCCTACGGCTCCAAACAAAAATTGCTTGGTAATCTGTAATTCTGTCCGTTGCACCAACAGAACGAAATGCAAGAACTCAACAAAGAAATGAACAGGGCATGGCAAAACGGACACGCTACTTCTTACAACAGGCGTAGTTAAATCTAGGATGGGAAACACGACACAAGAGCTAATCTTGTACAGCCAGGCTTCTGGAGGTCAGAATTTGCTGAAATCCAACCGCATTTCTGACGCAAGACACGGGTTCGGTTGTCCAGTAGACAGAAGTTTTTATTGGGCACGTTTGCAAAGGTGGG